CAAGCCAGACTTGGACTGTTCATGTTTTTAATATATTTAAATTTATTTAATATTGGTATCATTTTTTTTTTTTTTTTGGAGAGGTTTTTGCTATAGGGAGCGTGTGCTCACCAGAAAGAAAGAAAGAGAGACAGAAAGAAAGAAATCATTCCCGGGGGGATGGCCACACCACAATCCCTTCTCTTCCATTCTTTGCTCGGGATCTTGAGCACACATGCACACGCACCTGGTGTGAGTTTAAGTCACCAGGTCCAGGACTCGAACTGCAGTCAACTACACGGGAGTCCAGCGACACAGTCATTACGCCAACTGCTGGTCCCTATTGTTAACATTTTTAACTTGCTATAAGGCTAGGTGCTCACCAGAGAGAGACAGAAACTGAGAAAGTAAGCCACCAGGTCAGGGACCAATACTCTCATGTGGGAGTCTAGTGCCTTAACCACACCACCTCTGGCCCTGGACTGTTCACATTTACCAAATGTTTTCACATAAGTGGAAAAATTTCCTCCAAGAGATAAGCAAAACATGTATTATTAATTCACTGAAATTCAGGAAGGCAGAAACTAGAGAACTTACCAGAGAAATTGCCATGAATGGCAAAGCTGATGCCAGTGGCTCGCTGCAAGGTCAAGTTATACAGGAACATGGTGGCAGCAGAATTGGGCCACCCAGGTCTTGATTATACCAACGGTACCAAGTCAAAGCAAGCTGAGGGCACACATAAACAGAAAACCAGTAAGAATCAGTTATTTTAACCAACAGTTCTATGTAGGAACTTCAAGTGAAGGCAGTGTAAACCCCGTTGAGGACCAACATATTGGATCAGTTGGATCAAGTCATGATACATTATTGCATAGAAAAATACGTCCGTTGACTTCTCCAACAAAACAACAGTTAAGAGTGCTTTTAAAAAAAAAGAGTGCCTTCTGAGGGGGCCATGCAGGCAAGCTGGTAAGGATGCTGCCTCCCATTCTAAGGCAAGGCCTGGACTGGGAAGAAACTGAGGCAAGGCCCAGTTTACGAGCCCTCCCTTGTGTCCTTGAACTGGCCGGTATTTAATTTCTCTGCTGTGAGTTTTACTGTTATTACGGTACTCTGCAAGGGTAAAACATCACCCCCAACTACTGCAATAAAGTCTATTAGTGATCTTGTAGGAATGTGGTTCCCTAAGACTGACTCGAGGACCAGGAAGTTTAAGACTCCCCCACCTGTCTGTTTTTAAGCCAAAATTAACAAATAGATTAAGTTAGTATAAACCAAATTAGCATTAGAGACTCAACAAACAAAATGCAGGAACCCACAGATTTATTAGAGGAAAAAGCCTGGATGGGACAACAGAATAAACAAAGCTGAGGGCTCCACAGAAAGATTAACCATTTTAGCTGAGAGTTTTTATTTAAAGCAACAGGTAGCTTTCAACTACAAAGAGTTTTTCATCTATGTGCTGTTGACCATGAAAAACTGCTAATAAAACATCCAGTGTTGTCTCCTGAGCTACAAGATTATTTTCCATTCCCATATAAGATCGTAGACTCGCCCTCTATTGTTGTAATGTATAGTCTATATATTAACTGTGTCTTTACTTAGCAAGACAAGATTTTTATTTAGGTCTTTGCAACCAGCAACGTTATCGCCCTGGCCCGGGACTGAAGTTATCAAACATCCTACAAGCCCCCTCTTTAAAAGACCCTTCCCAGTAATCAAGATCTAAAAAGAAGATACAGCAGACAAATGGACTTCCTCATCCTGAGAACTGTAATTGATTTTACCTGAGCTAACAAGACAAACAGCATGTTTTATAATTATTGCTTCCATGCTTTGTATACCCTGTTCCTTAGAGTAAATTTTTTACTACCCCTCACCCTCCTTACTTCCTAAACCTCCCTCAATAAATACACATGTTTCAATAGCCACGGCGCAGCAGCCTGGAGCTGGCTCTGGCTGTGGTCGGCTGAGAACATGCTAAGGAGCAAAGAGGTCTCGGTCTAATTTTTTGTTTCTGATCACCCGTGTCGCCTTCCTGTGTACGAGCCACCCTCCACTGCCGAGGCCGGACCCCGGCAGCCTTCTATGGGGCCAGGCACAAGCTATCGATGAAGATCTTTAAAAAACTCATGAGAAATGTGCATTATGAAAACCATGGATGGATTTCAAAACACTTTTGCACCAAGAAAATCTAGAGCTTTAATTCCATTTGTCCACAAACTTTCTGAAGTCTCCTCGTACTCTGCCTCTAACCTCACAAGAATCCCATATGATATGTTGTATTATGTTAAACTGAGGCTCAAAAACTTCCTAACAGCACGTAACAAGTGATAAAAATGTTGGGTCCTAGAATCTGTATCCTTAATGCAAGACTACCTATTTGTCTTTCTTGTCACACAAACTGAGTTGGTCTGTATTTACTTGGACTCAAACAAGGTATACATTCCACACCACTCAGAATTCAACAACCCAGCAAGATGCTCCCTCCACCCCATCCCCTAGTCATCTACCTCTGGTGGAAGCAATTTTACCAAATTATATTGTATCCTGGGTACTTTTCATACATACTTTCATACAGCATTTTGCCCCCTCTAACCACAGGTTGAGTACTACATTTATGCAATCACACTAGACTGCAATTTATTTTTATTATTTTATCTGTTTTGAGATTGCAAGAAAAAGGTTTCTTCATAAAAATTACAGAGCTGCAGAATATCCCATTGAATGGACATATTATAATTAATTAATGCCCTACAACTACAGATCAACATTTAGGTTGTAGGCACTCCTTCCTACTATGAAAACTGCTGCAGAGAAAATCCCTTGTACATAGGTCATTTATATGTTCATGAAGTATCTAAGAGCAATTCCTAGAAGTGGAACTGCTGAACTGAAGAAGTCAAACATTTAAGATTTTGATAGACACTACCAAATTGCCTTTTGGGGCAACATGCCCAGCAATGACCGCGTTCCTCATAACCGCAGTGATATTTAGACATTTGACCTATACTAACCTCATGTACAAAAACCTGTTTCTTACAGAACTCTATAGCTGAGTGACTAAATGTAAATCTACTCGCCATCAAAACAAGTTAGACAAAACTGAGTTCTTGTCACATCAAAAGGAAGCCTTCCAAAAGGAGTATAAGAGTCTTCTCAGTACAAAGGATTAAAGTACCTCTTCCATAAAGAATTACCCATTACTACACCTACAGACCTATCTACCACTAAAAAAAGTTTACTTTTCCCATGTTGTTGGAGTTGTTTGTATTTCATAAGGTTTTTGTTACAGGGTGCTTACTCTCACTAGAAAGAGAGTGAGAAATCACCCCCGCTACGGGGGTGGGGGGGTGGAGGGGTGGGGAGGTTCTCTCTCTCTCTCTCACGCTCACGCACGCGCGCGCACACACACACACACACACAGAGCAAGAGTTTCAAGCGGTCAGTCAGAGTCCAGCGAGGTAGTCACTAGGTAGCCATTGCCATCTGCTGCCCCTCCACTCCGTGTTTATTTAGAAACAAAAAACAAGTGCTCTTGAGAAATCCAAAGTTACTGCTCTGTAATGTACAAACTTGATTTTGTTAACGCGGAAAAGAGAATTATAAGTAAATAGCCTCATGATAATTATTTCTGGCCTAGGCAAAAACAGGGTGACATGGTCACGCTGGTAATGGGTCCTGAAAGATAAATTTTCCTACTTGACATAGGGAACATCTTTAAAGACTATACTAAGATCACAGCAAAAGACACAAGAAAAAGTCTGAGATTGCAAAGAGAAAATATCAAGCCGTGTCGGAACAGATCCCCCTAGACTACTTTCTACTCTTTGTAGCTGACCGGAGATAGCCTTTTACCTTTCCTTAGTAACTGATACCACCTACCCACTACAAACCCTTGGAATTCATTTGCCCCAAACCTACTTGGATCCAGATTCTTCAGCTACACGATTATCTTGAAAAAAGTAGCGAAAGGGATATTCTGGAGGAAGAACCTTCTAGTGCTACGAGTATACCAGGAATCATTCACAACCAAAACTTGGTAAGCTTCGAAACTCCCCCGCGTCTACCTCCTCCTGATCGTGACGGTTACAAAAAGCCTGTCTGTGATCGCTCACTCCATCCAACCCTTCATGTTCCAAAGGAACATCATCGCATTTAAATTGTAAAGCCTTCAAGATACCTCTTGCAAAGGAGAAAATAGGTTTAGGGGAGGACCTCCAAGGAGCCCAACTCCCAAAACAAACGCAAACCAGAAGGTGGGTCCCGGAGACCGTTTGCTCTATCTACGCTGTTCAACGCGCTCGGGTCTGTTCCGGTCGATGTAGCAATTACTCCCGGAGGCGGGGGTCATCCCTCCCGCTCCTCTCCTGTCTCAAAGGCCTAAAGGAAAGGCTATCTCTGCAAGCCTTATTTTGAGCCTGAACTCGTTCCCAAACTGCACAGGAAATCGAAACGATTCCAGGAAGCTGTTTTCGCGCCCTTAGCGTTCCCTACAAGTCCTCCTCGTACCCTATCCAGGCCTCTCGGGCCTAGAGGACCTCTGAGTTCCACACGAAAATCTTGGACCCCTCTCCTACGCGGTCGCTGTGCACCTCCCCGGTCCCAGAGTAGTCACGAAGTCATCTTTTTTACCCTGCAGCGGAAAGGATGGCGTAGATATCCAATGGATAGTAAGTCCCTTCAAGACCTAAGCCACCGCCAGCGCCAACCCGCTGGCGTCCGCCATTAGTCCTTTGGACTAGGACCTTCCGGTGGCGCGCGACGGAAAAAGCTACCAAACCTATGCCTGAAGCGTGTATATTACAATTTTTTAAAACCTTCGGTCCTGCTTTCACACCGCATTGAGAATGATTTAAGTATACTCTATTACCGTTACCTTTCCAGGAGAATAGAAAATTAACAGGTTTTTTTTTTTTTTTTTCTTATAGGTGCTGCGGATTTACAAAAACCAAGAGTCGGTCAGGCATCTCTGTGGGCAGCGCCAAGGGCCCCGCGCGCCAATGAGGAGGGGACCTCGCGGGCCCGGAAGCGCCGAGTGGGAGCCAACATGGCGGATGTGGATACCTCTCATAAGTTGTCAGGGATGCCTCCGCCATCTGAAGGGGTGGGAGGAGGCCGCTGTTCGGAAATCTCCACCGAGCTCATTCGCTCCCTGACAGAGCTGCAGGAGCTGGAGGCTGTATACGAACGGCTCTGCGGCGAGGAGGTGGGGCGGAGCCTCTTCTTTCCTGGAGGATCCAGGGGCATAGGGCGTGGGAGTCATCAGCCTTGGGAAATCTGGGCTTTGGGAAACTCTCTCCTTGCTGGGAGAAAGAAAAAAAACCCTACCCAAGAAGCGGGAATGTAGTTGAGTATTTGGGGGGACCTGTCAACTCTTTCATTCGGTCGGCTGCCCCGAGCACGTTTTCTTTGATGTTTGGGGGACCTGCCCCACCAGTTCATTTCCCCCTCCCATAGTCACTACTTTGTCCACCCAAGTAAAGTTAAACTGAGAGTATTTGCCAAATCGCTTGGCTCTCAGGAATTGCATTGGCGTAGCAACTTAAAAATTACAAAGATGTCACGCAATTATCTCATTGAAGCGGGAGGTCATTGCATATAAACCTCTTGAAGCGATTTGATGATTTGAAGGTGTACTTTTAGCGTTTCCTGTAAATGCACAGCTTTATGTAAGTTTGAGCTTTTAAGACTTAAGTATAGCTTTAATTTTGGACAAGTCACAGCACCTGTTGTATCCTTGATATTTTTGTCAAATGAGAGGTGGTGTAGACTAGATTCTTAGATTCCTTTCAGTCATAACGTTCCAGCTTCTGCCTCCTCTATTCTCCTGTGAATGATGTCAGTTCACTTCCAAATGTCATTTGTGTTTCTTGCCAGTGAGAAAGAGGTGTAAACTCTATTCTAAAAGCTTAGCAGCTGTTCCCAAACTTTTGTGTAAGGTAAAGCACAAGCAATTTCAACCTTGGCGAGATCATCTAATATTAACAAACATTGAACCAACTCTAGCAGTTTTTGATACCTCTTTCAGCAAAATGTGTTTTAAAGTTCAGTACTCTTGATTGCTAAGCTTGCATTCATTCAGTCGATCAATACTTTAGGGGATGCTGGCAGGTAGTGTGGTGGTTAAGGGTACTGGACTCCCAAAGGGCCAACCACAGTTCAAGTCCTGGACCTGGTGGCTTGCTTTCTCACTTTCTCTGTCTCTCTTTGATCAAACTGGAAAATAATAATAATAAATAAAGTTTAAAAATGATTCTTAAAAAAATACGTTAGGGAAAAATTAAGGAGGTCTTAACAGGTGGAGCAATATTAATTCTGTATTTGTATTTGGTTGCTGTCAGGGAGGTTCCCCCTCTGGATCCTACTGGGCTGATTTAACAATGAATAGCCAATCATAACGGCTGTTGTTGAACCTGTCTGCTACATACTATTTTAAGCACTTTGTGTTATCCCATTTGACTTGCACACCAGTCCCATGGGATATGTATTGCTATCCCTATTTTACAGATGAAGAAAGGACCCATAAGAAAGTGATATAAATTGAGGTCGCACAATAAATAGCTTGACTGAGATAGAATTGTTCTTATTTCCTGTGTGCTAACTGCACACCAGGAAGAGTTTTTTTATAAATGCCATTTCAGAAAGTTTATTTTTCCAGCTATCATATGTTAAATGCCTTCCTGCTTTAGGTACTATGCTATTGATAATTGGATATAAGTTCATTCACTCTCATTGTGATGTTCATCTGCAATATGGAATAAAATACATACGTAAGATAACACTCATTTTGCAGTGCAATAAGTGCAAAACTGAAGGGTTTGTTTCTTTCGTGTTGTTAATGCATGAGAGGAGCATAGTGGAAGGGAAGAAAAACTTTGAAATGAGATTCACCCTCAGCTAAATGGTTAGATTAGATAACACTTTAGGTCTGACCAATCAGATGACAAGGTATTTCTCTATGTTTCAGAAAGTGGTGGAGAGAGAACTGGATGCTCTTTTGGAACAGCAAAACACCATCGAAAGTAAGATGGTCACTCTTCACCGAATGGGGTGAGTGTGTACATTTCAGCAAGCGCTATTATAAAGTTAATCAAGGTCCATTGGATAAATTATTATTTCTCCTAACTTTGTTATAAACTGCCAGTTAAGATTGAAATGTAGAGATGACATCAAAGTAAAGTAAACATATAAAGGTATAGTTCAGTGGTTCTCAAAGATGTAATACCAGCATCACGTGGAGACATGTTAGAAATGCAAATTGTGGGGACCAGCAGTTAGCGTAATGACTATGTTGCTGAACTCCCATGTAGTGGACCACGGTTCAGGTCCTGGACCCAGTGACTTAAACTCATGCCGGGCGTATGCTTGCGTCCCCAAGATCCCGAGAGGAAAATGAAGGAGAAGGGATTGTGGCATGGCCATCCCCCCTGGGGAGTGATTTCTCACTTTCTGTCTCTCCGTCTCTCTCTGTCTTTCTGGCAAGCGCAAGCACCCTATAGCAAAAACCTCTCCAAAAAAAAAAAGAAATGCAAATTGTGGGGCCTCACCCCCAAACTTATTGAATCAGAAACTCTGGGGGTGGAGCCCAGGTATATGTTTGTTTTGTTTTGTTTTGTTTTTGAGAGGTTTTTGCTATAGGGTGTGTGCGCTCTCCAGAAAGACAGAGAGACAGAAAGCAAGAAATCACCCCCCAGGGAAGATGGCCACGCTGCAATCCCTTCTCTTCCATTCTCCTCTCGGGATCTTGGGCACGCACGCACATGTGCCTGGCGTGAGTTTAAACCACCAGGTCTGGGACTTGAACTGCAGTTGACTACATGGGAGTTTAGTAACATAGCCATTACTCCAACTGCTGGTCCCGAGGTATATGTATTTTAACAAGCATACCAGGTTGTTCTGATGCATAGCTATAGTTTGAGAACCCCTGTTTTTGTACATTTTGTGCATTTGCTAGTCATAAAAATTTTCCTTGATCTTTCCTTCCTCTCAAAGTGTTGTTTAGTACATTGTATGCTCACTTAGCAATTGGGAGAATGTGTTCTTCAGTTCTTTGTAGGTATTTAGGTATATTGTTAGTAGTCTTAGAAATTATTATTTTATTAAACATAGATCTGAGTTTTTAGTAAAATATTCTTGAGAGTGGGACCAGTAGTTAGTGTAATGGCTATGTCGCTGACTCCCATGTAGTCAACCGCAGTTTGAGTCCCAGACCCAGTGACTTAAACTCACATGGGGCATGTGTGCATGCGTGCCCAAGACCCCTAGAAAGTTGTTAGTAGTCTTAGAAATTATTATTTTATTAAACATAGATCTGAGTTTTTAGTAAAATATTCTTGAGAGTGGGACCAGTAGTTAGTGTAATGGCTATGTCGCTGACTCCCATGTAGTCAACCGCAGTTTGAGTCCCAGACCCAGTGACTTAAACTCACATGGGGCATGTGTGCATGCGTGCCCAAGACCCCTAGAAAGGAATGGAGGAAAAGGGATTGCGATGTGGCCATTCCCCCTGGGGGGGTGATTTCTCACTTTCTGTCTCTCTCTCTCTCTCTCTCTCTCTTTCTGGCGAGCGCACACGCCCTATAGCAAAAACCTCTCCAAAAAAAAAAGAAATATAAAAAAAAAAGAAATATATATATATATTCTTGAGAGTAAGTCGTGTAGAATGGACTGAGCTAAGAGTTGTGGGGAGGTACAAAAAAAAATAAACAGAAGAGAGTCACCCATCTGCAAAATATTTCCATCTCTTTTTATCTACTCATTCATTTTTTAAAGAATTATTTTATTTAACTTTATTTATTTACTTATTTTAATTTTACCAGAGAGGGACAGAGCAAGAGAGAGAAAGAAAGAGGGAAAGCGAGAAAGCAAGCCTGACCAGACCAGGTCTGGGACTCAAACCACAGTCAGCCATGTGGAAGTCCAGCATCCTTAACATTCAGTTCAACTGCCAGGCCCCTCATTCATTTTTTTCTTTTAATTTTGACCAGAGAGAGAGACACATACAGGGTGGGATGGGGGTGGGGCAAGGGGCGGCACGGCGTGGAGGAGGGCAAGAAAGCTAGCCACCAGGTTCAGGACTCGATCTGTGGTTGGCCAGGTAGGAGTGTCCAGCGCCTTAGCCACCACACAACCTTCTGGTCCCTCCATTTCTTACTTCTACTTCTACTCCTATGACTATGTCTCTGCTGACATTGTGTGTCTCTAGTCCCAATCTGCAGTTGATTGAGGGAGATGCAAAGCAGCTCGCTGGAATGATCACCTTTACCTGCAACCTAGCTGAGAATGTATCCAGTAAAGTCCGTCAGCTTGACTTAGCTAAGGTAATTCCATTGACTTTCGTTTTTCTTTAATTTGCTAGAGGGCATATGTGCTTTCGGGGTGGGCAGGGGAGTGAGAAAGTGGGACTGGGCGATGTCCACACCATAGTCCCTTCTTTTTTCTCCTTTTGAGATTTTGGGCATACATATACACACCCAGCATGTTTCTCAAGCCAGTTTTAGGACTCGAACCATTGGCCCCTCATTGAGCTTTTTTAAAAAAATTGTTTATTCCATGAGTGAGAGAGACAGCAACACAACACCCCCAATAGAATGTTAACTGCGGTCCATCCCAGTTTCAGCCAGCCCTGCATCATGGACACACATGTGCCCAGCGTATTCAGGGACATCTCAGAGACAAACCAACAACCCTCCCCTGTGGGACTGCGTCATAGAGCTTCACGTTTTACTGCTACACCGCCAACTACTCTTTGCATTGAATTTTGTTTTTGTTTTTCTTTCTTAAATTGCCAGAGGGCACATACATTCAGAAAGGGTAGGGGAGAAAACCCTCCCTTAATGGGACATGGTCACACCACAATCCCTTCTCCTTTTCTTCGTCCTGTCAGGATTTGGGGCAGGCACGCATATCACCCCAACATGTTTTTCAAGCCACTGGGACCAGATTCAGTTTGTGGAATTTAGTTCCCTTAACCATTAAGCTACTGGCCATCCCTATTCAACACACGTTTAATGAAAAACTTATAAATCAAGCACTGTTCTGGGTGAGCTGTGCTCCCCAATATAGCAGCCACTAGCCACAGGTGGCTTTTTCTTTCCTAAGAATTTTTTGCCATAGGGCATGTGCCCTCAACAGAGAGAGAGAAAGTGAGAGGGAAAGTGAAAATCACCCCCTGGGGGAGATGGCCATGCCACAATCCCTTCTCCTCCGTTTTCCTCCTGGGATCTTAAGCATGCATGTGCATGTGCCTGGTACGATTTTTAAGCCACCAGGTCCAGGACTCGAACCTTGGTCGGCCATGTGGGAATCCAGCAACATGACCGCTATACCATCTGATGACCCCAAGTTTATTTATTTCATCTGAGAGAGAGAGACAGAGAGGGAGACAGACACCCTCAGAAGGGTCTTCATGCCATGATCCACCCTAGCCAGCTGAAATCAGAGGCATGCAAATTTGCTCTACATTACACACATATGTAGCTCTTTTTATTTTTTTTTTAAGAATTATTTATTTAATCCCATTTGTTATTATTTCTTTAACTTGATCAGACAGAGACAGTGAGAAAGAACAGGAAAGTGAGAAAGCAAGCCGCCAGGTCCAGGACTCAAACCGCATTCGACCATGTGAGAGTCTAGTGCCTTTACCCACCATGCTACCTGCCAGCCCTGTAGCTCTTTTTTTTTTTTTTTTTTTTTTTTTGTTGTAGGGCATGTGCGCTCATCAGAGACAGAGAGAAAGCACAAGGGAGTAAAAACCTCGATGGGATGTGGTCATACTATAATCTTTTTTCTCCATTTCTGTATCCCATCAGGATTTTGGCATGCTTGTACAGACAGCCAGGGTGTTTTTCAAGCTGCTGGGGCTGGGATTCAAACTGCAATCAATTATGTGGGATCCAGCTTTCAAATCACAGGGCTTAACTGCTGCACTATAGGGGCCAGGCCTGCACATGGGTATCTTAATTTGGACTAGCCACATTTCCATCGCTAATGGCCACAGATAATTAGTGGCTTCTAGGTTTGGTTTCTTGAATAAGTCAGTCCCAGCCTCGGTTTGCTCCTGTGAAACATCATAACCAATCCTGATCTGTTTATTTAGATTCTGTAAAAATATTGCATAGCTTCTTTAGCCACGAAGGCATCAACTCACTTATTAAAGTCTTTTTAAATTAAATTGTATTTTTTAATTGTCAGAGGGTGTGTTTACTTGCTGAAAAGAGACAGAGGAAGAGAATGGGAGAAAGCACCCCTCAGTGGAGCACGGTCACACTGCAATCCCCTCTCCTCCATTTCTCCATCCTGTCGGGATTTGGGGCACACATGCGCACATGCCTAGCATCTTTTTCCAGCTACCAGGACCAGGATTCAAACTGTAGTTGACTTTAGGCAATTTGGTTCCTTTAATCATTAGACCAAAGTTTTTGGTTTTGTTTTTTGTTTGTTTGTTTGTTTTGAGAGGTTTTCGTGCACTCGCCAGAAAGACAGAGAGAGACACAGAGACAGAAAGTGAGAAATCACCCCCCGGGGGATGGTCACGCCGCAATCCCTTCTCCTCCCTTCTCCTCTCGGGATCTTGGGCACGCATGCACACGTGCCCAGCGTGAGTTTAAGCTGCCAGGTCCGGGACTCGAACCACAGTCAACTATGTGGGAGTCCAGCAACATAGCCATTACACTAACTGCTGGTCCCACTTTATTTTAATTTTTTAAGAATTATTTATTTGTTTGTTTGTTTTTCACATGGGTTTTGGCAAAGAAAGAGAAAAAAGGGAGAGAGAGAAAGCAAGCTACCAGGTCCAGAAATCGAACTGTGGTCGACCACGTGGGAATTCCAGCACCTTAATGACCACACCATCCACTGGCCCTGTTTATTTTATTTTATTTTATTTTATTTTGGAGAGATTTTTGCTATAGGGCACATGTGCTTGCCAGACAGACAGAGACAGAGAGATAGAAAGCAAGAAATCACCCCCCAGGGAGGATGGCCACACCGCAATCCCTTCTCCTCCCTTCTCCTCTCGGGATCTTGGGCACGCACGCACACGCGCCCGGCGTGAGTTTAAGCCACCGGGTCCAGGACTCGAACTGCAGTCGACTACGTGGGAGTCCAGCGACATAGCCATTACGCTAACTGCTGGTCCCGGCCCTATTTATTTTAATTTGACCAGAGAGGGACAGAGTAGGGTTGGGGGAGAAGAAAAGTGAGAAAGCAAGCCACCAGGTCTAGGACTAAAACCACAGTAAGCCATATGGGAGTCCAGCACCCTTAACCACCACACCACCTGCCAGCCCCATAGCCTTAAAGGTTTTTTGTTGTTTTTTTTTTTGGAGAGGTTTTCTGCTGTAGGGCACATTCACTCACCAGAAAGACAGAGAGAGACAGAAAGTGAGAAATCATCCCCTGGGGGGGATGGCAACACCACAATCCCTTCTCCTCCATTCTTTTCTCAGGATCTTGAGCATGTATACATATGCATCTGGCGTGAGTTTAAGCCACTGGGTCCAGGACTCAAACCACGGTCAACTACGTGGGACTCCAGCAACATGGCCATTAAGCCAACTGCTGGTCCCTTTAACCTTAAAGTTTTTTTTTGTTGTTGTTGTTGTTGGAGAGGTTTTTGTTTTTTTCTGCTATAGGACACATGTGCTCACCAGAAAGACAGAGAGAGATAGACAGAAAGCGAGAAATCACCCCCGCGGAGGGATGGCCATGCAACAATCCCTTCTCCTCCATTCTCCTCTCAGGATCTTGGGCATGCATGCACACGTGCCCAGCGTGAGTTTAAGCCACCGGGTCCAGGACACGAACCATGATCTACTACTTGGGAGTTCAGTGACATAGCCATTACGCTAACTGCTGGTCCCTGTAGCCTTAAAGTTTTTAACAACTTCTTTATTGTAGAAGAAAAATGCCTTCCACACATTCTGCATACTTATAACAGTTTTGTGAGTGGTATGGTGACGTATGTCTGATTGCCAGTGAAAGTTAGCTGCAAAGGACCTGTAGTTACCAGATTTAGCTCCTGAATCTCTTATCTTCTGGAGAGGTGTTTTTTAAAGACTAAGACATCTCGCCAGTTGGTGGCAGAGTAATTGAGGGGAGTGGATCCCACATGGCCAGCTAAACAGTTCAGGTCCAGGACCTCACAGCTTGGGGGGACTTGCCAGACTCATGTGCCCCAGTATTCTGAAACAGGGGAGAGATGAAGGAGAGGGCACTGCAGTATGGCCTTTCCCCATGGGGAGGTGTTTTCTGTGTGTGTGTGTGTGTGTGTGTGTGTGTGTGTGTCTGTCTCCAGCACATGGCAAATTTTTTTTTAAATGAAGAAGATTGAATAGGATATCGTGTGTAAGTACAAAGTCTTTTTTTGCAGAACCGCCTCTATCAGGCCATTCAGAGAGCTGATGACATCTTGGACCTGAAGTTCTGCATGGATGGAGTTCAGACTGCTTTGAGGAACGAAGATTATGAGCAGGCTGCAGCCCACATTCATCGCTACTTGTGCCTGGACAAGTCAGTTATTGAGCTCAGCCGACAGGGAAAAGAAGGTGGGCAGCCCAAGCTATTGGTTTCTAGTACAAACATGTGTAATCTGAACTTGGCCAACTCAGCCAGGAGAAAACCATCGTCGTATCTGTAGAAGGCCTATATGAGTCCTGTTACCATCCCAGGGCAGGTGTTCCTACTTGCACTTTATGGAAAAGAAAACTGATTTTCTTTCGGCATCTACCCCGGGTTTGGCTCGATCTAAGAGGAAACAGAAAGAAAGACAGAGTAGCAGTGGACACAGGGAGCCTGAGCCTAAGCAGCCCAGGCAACCTGGGCACCTTTATTTGTAGGGCAAAGCAACATTACATATGTGTATTTCATGACATTCCATAGATAAGTTGGTGTGTTATAGACAGTAAGAAGCAGTTGACAAATCTATACGGGCTTATTCATACTGGGCCAGGTGTATCCCTTGGCGATAATCACATCAAGGAGAAATCCCATTAATCTTCTTTTCTAATGGAGAGAAGCCTAGCTGCAGGTGTAGGGAGGATACATAAGGCTAAAGAATCTCGCCATAGGGCGGGCATCACCATGCCGCCCCGGATAAAGCTAAAGAATCTTACAGAGGCAAAGCGGGGATTGGACTTTGCTAATTGGGGTCAAGATGTTCCTGAATTCCATCAGATGTGTCTGTTGGAAGGCTCCTAGAAAGTTCCACCCTTTGCTCTGCCTGCAGCAAGGGTTAAGGAAAGGACAAACTGCGAGGTTCTGACATAGCACAAGGACAGGTGATGTTTGCTCAGAGCATGTCCCCACACCCTCAGGGCCTCTCTCCATTTTTCCCTACAATTTTCTGCCCAATGGGTTCTTTGTAGTTAACCATATTACCTACTTAAAAATTCAATTCTTGGGGCTGGCAGGTGGCATTGTAGTTAAGGCACAGGACTCCCACATGACTGACAGTGGTTCAAGTCCTGGACCTGGCAGCTTGCTTTCTCACTTTCTCTCTCTCTCTCTCTCTCACTCTCGCTCTCCCCCTCTCTCCCTGGTTATATTTTTAAAATAATAATAATAACAAATAAAATTACATAAATTAATTTTAAAAAATTCATTCCTAGCCTGGCATTCTGAGGTCAGTCTTTACTCATCTTGCCTTTCTAGCCTTATTTAATGCTAACCACACATGCCTCCACTCATTGTGCAAGTACTTGCTGAGCTCCTCTTTATGCTAAGGCTGTACTCTCGGGAATACCGTGGAAAGGGGCACTTTATCTTTTTGCTTTCTATTTCTTTGTTTACTTCATTCTCTTTACTTGAAACATGTATCTCTACTCAGGTACCAAAATCCTGCTCATCTTTGAGAAATGAGATATCACCTTCCTTGGGAGGCTTTTCTGTTTACTTCAACCAGATATGTGGCTTTGAACACCTTTGTTTTGATACTTACCTTTTTTCTTCTTTTCTTTTTCTTTCTTTCTTTTTTTTTTTTTTTTTTTGAGAGTTTTTTGCTATAGGGTGTGTACACTCACCAGAAAGAGAGAGAGACAGAGAGACAGAAAGCGAGAAATCACCCCCCAGGGGGGATGGCCACACCGCAATCCCTTCTCCTCCATTCTCCTCTCTGGATCTTGGGCATGCACGCACACGTGCCTGGCTTGAGTTTAAGCCACCGGATCTGGGACTCGAACCACGGTCAACGACATGGGAGTCCAGTGACATAGCCATTATGCTAACCGCTGGTCCCTGTTTTGATACTTACCATACACTCAATTTTCCTGGGGTTATTTGTGCACAAACCTTAGCTCTTTGACTTGATTGTAACTATGTGATTGTAGTAATTGTATCTGATGATGGGATCTCAGCTGATTCACCTTTGAAGCATCCCTACTACTAGCACAGTGTCTTGAACCCAGAAAGTGCTTCATACATATTCGTCAAGTGTATAGTGGTACACAAAGTGGCGTGGATCTGGCGCAATACCATTCTTTAAACTAATTCTCATTTTCTCCCCATCGAGCAGGGAGCATGATCGATGCCAACCTGAAACTGCTGCAGGAAGCTGAGCAGCGTCTCAAAGGCATTGTAGAAGAGAAGTTTGCCATGGCCACCAAGGAAGGGGATCTGCCCCAGGTGGAGCGCTTCTTCAAGATCTTCCCACTGCTCGGCTTGCACGAGGAGGGATTAAGCAAGTTCTCAGAATACCTTTGCAAGCAGGTAAGGACCCTGATTGCTTGGCAGGATAATGGTATGGTATTCTGCCTGCAGATTAGGGCCCTGTTGAATCCATTTTCTTGTGGATACTTTTCTCTCCTCTGGATCTGATCGCCCTTTCAGCTCTTGCTGTAGCCTGCCAGGACATGATGCATGCGTTCATTTAACACATCTCTTGCAGCCTGCTGTGTATTTGCAGCCTGCTGTGTATTGGGCATAGCCTCGACATTGGTGATGCACATTTATTTCCAGCAGACCAGGTGAGAATAAAGGAACATTAAAATGCAGGTTCTCAAGTTTGAATCACCCTTTCAAGCTATTGGTCAGGAATTGACGTTTTTGTTTTTGTTTTTTTTTAAGAGGTTTTTGCTATAGGGCATGTGCGCTCACCAGAAAGACAGAGAGACACAGAGAGATAGAAAGCGAGAAATCAACCCCAGGGGGGATGGCCACACCGCAGTCCCTTCTCCTCCATTCTCCTCTAGGGATCTTGGGCACACACACACATGCACCTGGCGTGACTTTAAGCCACCGGATCCTGGACTTGAACTGCAGTCAGCTACATGAGAATTCAGCGACATAGCCATTATGCTAACTGCTGGTCCCAGGAATTGACTTCTTTTTCGCAGGTGGTGTGGTGGTTAAGGGATTGGTTTTTTTTTTTTTTTTTTTTTTTTGCCAGAGTGTACATGCACTCACCAGAGAGAGACAGAGAGAGAGAGAAAGCACCTCTCCCCACAATGGGACATAGTCATGCCACAGTCCCTCAATCCCTTCTCTCCATTTCATCCTTTGGGGATTTGAGGCACATACACGTGCTCACTTGGTAACTTTTTCAAGCCACAAGGATGGGGACTCAAACCATGTGGTTGGCCATATGGGATTCAACTCGTTTAACCACCAGGCCATGGGCTGGCCCTAGGAATTGACTTCTTTTAAGAGTAATTGGAGTTTGGTGGACCAGCAGTTAGCATAATGGCTATGTCGCTGGACTCCCATGTAGTCGACTGTGGTTCAAGTTCTGGACCTGGTGGCTTAACCTCATGCCGGGCGCGTGTGCATGTGTGCCCGAGATGCGGAGAAGAGAATGGAGGAGGAGAGACTGCGCTGTGGCCATCCCCCCTGGGGGGTGATTTCTTGCTTTCTGTCTCTCTGTTTCTCTCTGTCTCTTTGGTGAGCACACGTGCTCTATAGCAAAAACCTCTCAAAAAAAAAGAGTAATTGGAGTTTGGGACCAGCAGTTGGCATAATGGCTGTGTCACAGGACTCGCATGTAGTTGACCACAGTTTGAGTCCTGGACCCAGTGGCTTAAACTCATGCTGGGCATGTGTGCATAAGTGCCCAAGATCCTGAGAGGAGAATGGAGGAGAAGGGATTGCAGCATGGCCATCCCCCCTGGGGGGTGATTTCTTGCTTTCTGCCTCTCTCTGTCTTTCTGGTGAGTGCATACACCCTATAGCAAAAACCTCTTAAAAAAAAAAAAAAAGGAGTAATTGGAATTCTTGGGCAGACAACAGGTGGTGTGGTGGTTAAAGGTGTTGGACTCCCACATGGCAGACCACGGTTCAAGTCCTGGACCTGGTAGCTTGCTTTCTCACTTTCCATGTCTCTCATTCTGTTCCTCTCTGGTCAAATTAAAATAATTAATTAATCAATTAATTTTTTTAAAAAGTAATTGGAGTTCTTACTGGGTTTAAGATTTCATAACCAGGCTTGAGTCTCAAAATAAGCCACATTGAGATGAAGTTAAAACTTGGAAGAGAACCAGTCTTCAGTTAAAGTGTCAGGGCTTTCTCACCCCTACCCCCCTAGGTGGAGAGATGCAAACCCAGCAGGCCTGTGTATAGAGGGTTGTTGTTTTTTTTTTTTAACTACATGTCAGTTTATCCTGCCTTTCAAGCCACCAAAAAACAAAAAAAATCCCCTGTAGTCAAGCACTAGTCTGCCATTAAGAGAAATGAGGCCGTTTTATGTATGCTTACATGTTTTACTAACGGTGGTTTGTTAAACAAATGAGGTACAAAGCAGAATGTTATTTTTGCTTAAAGTCGGGGGTGGGTGTTAGGCAGGGCTGACCCACATGGGGACGCTAGGTTCCATCTAGAGGCCTCTCAAAGTACCCCAGACACATGCTCCCATGCTCCTTGTCTGGCTGAGTGGAGATCATGATGGATTGACCCCCTTTAGGGGTGCAGACTCTCTATCTCTTTGTGTCTTTGTCTCTCACTCACAGAATAAACTTTAAAAAAAAAAAAAAGTTTCTTTTTTTATAAGAGAGGTTTTTGTTTTTTGTTTTTTGTTTTTTTGCTATAAGGCACATGTGCTTGCCAGAGAGACAGACAGAAAGCAAGAAATCATCCCCTAAGGGTATGGCCACACCACAATCCCTTCTCCATTATCCTCTAGGGATTTTGGGCATACATGTACACGCACCCAGTGTCAGTTTCAACCTGCCAGGTCTGAGAGTCAAACCACAGTTGACTATATGGTAGTCCAGCGACATAACTCTTACACCATCTGCTGGTACCCTAAAAAAACTTCTTTAAAAAATTAGGGGAGGGCCAGTTGTTGGTGTGGTGGCTAAGATGGCTGGATTGATCCCACGTGGCCAACTACGCAGTTTGGGTTCAGACCTGGTAGCTTGAAAAACTTGCCAGGTATTGGGGCCGGCAGGTGGCATGGTGGTTAAGGGCACTGGACTCCCACATGGCCAACCATGGTTCAAGTCCCAGACCTGCTGGCTTGTATTCTCACTTTCCCTCCCTCTCTCTCTCACTCTGATCCTCTCTGATCAAATTTAAATAAATAAATAAAGTTAAATAAAATAATTATTTTAAAAAAAGAAAGAAAGAAAGAAAGAAAAACTTGCTGGGTGTGTACATGTGCATATCCAAAATCCCAAAAGGGAGAATGAAAAGGTAGAATGGAGGAGAAGGAACTATATAGCATTGCCATCCCCCTGGAGGGTGCTTTCTCACTTTCCCTGTCTGTCTCTCTCTCCAGCGAACGCACATGCCCTATAGTAAATTAAAAAATAATCATAATAAAAGATACTAAAAGCTAATAATTCGGGAACCAGCCGTGCAGCCCGGTGGTTAAACACTGTACAGAGGGAGCCAGATCCCACTCGACTGCAGGTTGAGTTCCGGCCCCGGCAGCAACACACCTGTACACATGTCTAGGATCCTAAAGGGATGGAGAATAGAGGAAAAAGGATTGTGACCAGGCCCCACCAGGGAGTGCTTTCTTTTTCTTTATGTCACTGAAGGGAAAAAAAGGCCAATAGGGGGCCCATTTGTAGAATCAAGACCTACGAGGATGAGGCTGACAGAGGCTGACCTTTAGTCTGAGAGAGATATGTGGATTTCCTCCTTTTTTTCAGGTGGCCAGTAAAGCTGAGGAGAATCTGCTTTTGGTGCTAGGGTCGGACATGAGCGATCGAAGAGCTGCGGTCATCTTTGCAGATACTCTCACTCTCCTGTTTGAAGGCAAGCCTCTTGCTCCACCCTAGAGACCACAGACGCATCTGATGCCTACATCCTAACGTTTCTTTCTCCCTCTAGCCCGATGCCTTTAGTTTAATCCTGTAGTTTACTGTGCATCTCCAAGACAATGGGAATATCAATATCATTAGCGGAGCTTAGTTAGAATCTCTCAGGTATTTTGATCCCCCCAACCCTCAAGACCAAACTCTATAAGAGTAAATTTAACCCTAAAATAGTTTACAGGAAAGAGAATGATGCTGATTTTCAAAGGTGGTGTTGTAGAAAACAGCACCAGTAAAACTGACCAAGTGCTTGCTGGTATACTAAGCCCCATACGTGTTTAACAAGCAAGTTTGCTTAGCAAGCCCTAGCATTGACTAAAACCTCTGTGTTCATTTTAGGAGGTGAAGCAGCCAGAAAGAATTTAGTCAGCCCCCAGATTAATCCCAGATGAGGGACAGGATTATTTTGTGAGAAGAATATTTGGAATCCAACCTCTCGCCTTCCTTCCTTCTAGGGATTGCCCGCATTGTGGAGACCCACCAACCCATAGTGGAGACCTACTATGGGCCAGGGAGACTTTATACCCTGATCAAATATCTGCAAGTGGAATGTGACAGGCAGGTGGAGAAGGTGGTAGACAAATTCATCCAACAGAGGGACTACCACCAGCAGGTGAGCGGGGGAACTGACAGGTGCTTCGGTAGCAGCTCTAACCAGGGACACCAAGAGAATTACTTGGAAAGGACAAAATGAGAAAAGGTACAGATAAGAGAAAGTAAATACCAAATGAATACTAGAAATAGAAACTAGAAAGTGCTTCCTGAAAGAGACACAACAGAAACTTCAGCCCAATTCTCTACGTCAGACCATTCAACATGCCCTCTGGTGATGTAGTGAGAGCTTTATTCCCTGAGGTCCTATTGAATGTCAAGTAATAGGTCTCAAATTGCCTCTAAGTTCCTTAAGTGCTAAGGATAACAATGGCTTTTTCAGAGCTGTATTTTTCCCCGTCCTTTGAGCCAGGAAGGCACAAGCAGGACATAGAAGTACAAGTGTCCTTGTACAATTTTACTTACAAAGCTTCAGACCAGGGGACTGTAGACATTCTAGTCCATGAGAACACCATTAGCATTCCTAAGTGCAATAGAAAAGGCATTAGTATCTAAACAGAAAGCAAGTCTTTGGGCTATCTTCCTGAAAGCCCTCCTTGGCTTGAAGGAAAGGTGAGGCTGCCTGGTAAACTTGCTAAACCTAAGTATTCTTATGTGTCCAAAGTTTGGAGGGAGGCAGATGATGAAGGGGTGGGAGAAAGTATCCTCATTTCTGTGGTATGTTGCAGTTCCGGCATGTCCAGAACAACTTGATGAGAAATTCTGCAACAGAAAAAATTGAACCAAGGTAATAATCCCTCTCTTTTCCTCTGCCCATGTGAGTTCAACTTGGTAATCTAATGTAATTCAGGCTACCTTGTTACAATGTGGTCTGTATTTTTTTTTTTCTCTCTTTATTTTTTCGGAGAGGTTTTTGCTATAGGGCTCGTGCGCTCGCCAGAAAAACAAGAGACAGAGAGAGAGAAAGCAAGAAATCACCCCCTAGGGGGATGGCCATGCCGCAATCCCTTCTCCATTCTCTTCTCGGGATCTTGGGCACGCACACTCACGCACCTGGCATGAGTTTAAGCCACCGGGTCCAGGACTCCAACTACGGTCGACTACGTGGGAGTCCAGCAACATAGCCATTACGCTAACTGCTGGTCCCTGGTCTGTATCTTTATATGTTGTCAATTATTATTATTTCGTTGTTGTTGTTAGGTTTGCTATATGGCACATGCACTCTCCACAAGGAGAGAGAAAGGGAAAGTGAGACATTTTTGCAGCCTCACGGCAATCCCTTTTCCTCCATTCTTCTTTTGGGATTTTGGGCACACATACACACCATTGTGATTTCCAAGTCACCAGGCCTGGGACTCAAACCATGAAGTCAATCATGTAGGGTCCCGCCAACAATCCTCCATGCCCCAGTCTTACTTTTTTATGTAATATATTATACAAACAAAAGTGCGCATATAATATGTGGATGGTTCTTAAAAAGCAACAACGTCTTTACCAATATTTCCGAAGCTCCCACAGTGACTCTTCTCCCCTCCCCCACCATGAACTCATGTGCCTTATAGCAAACTAAATAAATAATCAGCATAAATCAGGAAGTATGAGTTGTCCAGCTTTTTTTCCTCCAAGATTGTTTTGGCTGTTCATCAGAATAAGTGACTGGATGTGAGGCAGTTTAATGACATATCCTAAAATCCTGCTGGGGCTAAATTACAGGCTAAGGAAATATGTTTTCTTTCACATGAGACATGGGTCATTTTTATCGAAGTCACAAAAGAATGCATACCTCCCCAACCTTCCATTTAGCTCTGGAAGAATTGTAGGGGTGCTCGGCTCAGGTGAATAGCAAATGTGGTTGGCCAGTGTCTGTGACTGTAACGAGGTCACCAAAGCCAGGGAGCCCATCCAGCAGACCTGACGCTGTGGGCAGAGCGCCAGAGAGAGTTAGGAGTGTGTTTGCCTTTTAGCTCTGACTTCGGAGGGAGCCCAGAGTCCTTACTCCTTCTGCTCCGTGTCTCAGGGAACTGGACCCCATCCTGACTGAGGTCACCCTGATGAATGCCCGCAGTGAGCTGTACTTACGCTTCCTCAGGAAGAGGATCAGCTCTGATTTTGAGGTGGGCGATTCCATGGCCTCAGAAGAAGTGAAGCAAGGTAAAGCATGCTTCCTATTCCCTGGGCTGGCAGCGGTATATAATTAGTGTGTTCGGAGGTGGGTAAGCCACAGATCTCTCACTAAGGAAAGTACGGTGGCTCGGTAGTCTCTGGAGGTCTGTGGGGAGCGTGACTCCCAGAATGATTGGACTGTGGCAGTCGGTGCACAAATCCATAAAATTACAAAAAATCATTGAGGGTCTGGCAGGTGGCGTGGTGGCTAAGGGCACTGGACTCCCACATGGCCGACTGTGGTTCACATCCTGGACCTGGCGGCTTACATTCTCATTTATTCTCTCTCTCTCTCTCACTCTGTCCCTCTGGTCAAAATAAAAATAAATAAATTAATTAATAAAGTTAAAATTCTTTTTTAAAAAAATAATTGAATTGGGGATCAGCAGGTGGCATGGTTAAGGCATTGGACTCCCATGTGGCTGACCGCAATTCAAGTCCCAGACTTCGCAGCTTGCTTTCTCACTTTCTTCCTCTCTATCTCTCTCTCTGTCTCTCACTGGTCACATTTTTAAAAATAATAATAAGTAGGGACCACCAGTTAGCGTAATGGCTATGTCTCTGGACTCCCATGTAATCGACCGCAGTTCGAGTCCCGGACCTGGTAGTTTAAACTCAACTCGGGCACGTGTGTGTGTGTGCGCGCGTGCCTAAGATTCTGAGAGGAGAATGGAGGAGAAAGGATTGCGGCATGGCCATCCCCCTGGGAGGTGATTTCTCACTTTCTGTCTCTCTGTGTCTCTTTGGCAAGCACATGCACCCTATAGCAAATTCCTCTCCAAAAAAAAAGAAAAAAAAATTATCTCCCAGAGGCACTGGCCTTGCTATAATCCCTTCTCCTCCATTCTCCTCTTGGGATCTTGGGCAGGGACATAGTCATGCCCAGTGTGATTTTCAAGCCACCAGGTCCTGGACTGAAACCAAGCTTGGTCATGTGGGAGTCCAGTGCTGTAACCTCTATGCCACCTGCTGGTCCCTTATCTTTTATGAATATGTGGCATTTTGTCAGATGAATAATCTATATATTTTTAACAACTCTGTTTTTAGAGGAAATAATTATTTCCAAATAGTTTGCCATTATTGGAGAAAACTGAAATTAGAGATTACAATAATTAGACGTTACAGTGAACAATTTAATACAAACAACTTTTTGCTCCTTTTCCATTATTTCCTTAGGATTAATTAATAGGAGTCAAAAGATTTCCAGGGCAAAGGCTGAAATATAGTGGATATAAGACGTTTCTCTAGACCAGTGACGTCCAGTAACGTTCTTTATGATGGCAGAACTATTCCATGTCTATGTTGTCCAGTATGGAAGCCACTAGCAGTGGTAGTTACAGAGCACTTGGAATGTAGCTAGTGAGGATGGGAACTAAATGTTAAAATTGAATTTGAATTAAGTTTGACTTTTGATAGCCACATGTGGCTAGTAGCTACTTATTGGACAACACAGTTCTGGATGGTGGTGTCATTGTTGCCACTGACAAGCACCAGGCTCCCGACGAGCTCAGACCCTGGTCACTCACTCACCCAGCAACTCCCCAGCCATGTATTAATGGCACAAGCTGTGTAGAAAGCCACAGGCAGAGGGTTGTTGAGTCTCTAGGAAACTCTTCAGTTAGTTGCCCAGTGGAAACCAAATGGTCTTCTTAAAAACCTGGAGCGTTTGGCCAGCTGGTGGTGTGGTGGTTAAGGCTGTAGACTTCCACATGGCTGACTGTAGTCTGAGTCCCAGGACCTGGCAGCTTGCTTTCTCACTTTCTCTCATGAGTGTGTGTTCCGTATAGCAAATTATTTATAAATCAATCAATCAGTCAATCTAAACAATTCCTTAAAAAACAAAAACAACAAAATACCCCTGGAGAGTTGGACCAGCTCTAGCCTAGTAAAGGGAGGCCAGATCCCACATAACCAACCACAGTTTGAGTCCTGACCCTTGTGACTTAAAAAACACACTGGGCACAAGTGTTTGCATGTTTAAAACTCTGACAGGCTGGGGAGACAGAAGAGAAGGGACTGTGGTGTGGCCATGTCCCATCAGGTATACTTCCCTCCTCTCTGGCTAACACACCTACCCTCTGGCAATTAAAAAAAAAAGCTCCATGTCCTCATGGTTAAGGCAGCCGTATACCACAGAGCTGACTCCACTGTTCAAATCCTGGACTCAGCAGCTTGTGCAACAAGCTGGAGTGTATGTACGTGTGCCCAGAACCCTGAAAGGAGGGAGAGACGAAGGAGAAAGGACTGCATGTGACCATTTCCCGTCGGGCTGCTCTCTGCTCTCCCTCTCTCTGGTTCTCTGTGGTGAACACGTGTGCCCTCTAGAAAAAATTTCCAAAAAGCAAAACAAAACCCCTGGAGAATCAACCTGTAAATGAAACTGAACCTTGGCACGCCTTTTATTTCGATGTCATTTAGCCCTTCAAAAAGTGACTGAGGAACTGAGAGACTGGGAGTGGGTAAAGCCTTTCTTTACATTATATTCTATTTATTTTTTCTTTAGAGAGATTTTTGCTATAAGGTGTGTATGCTCGCCAGAGAGAAAGAAAGTGAGAAATCACCCCCCCAGGGGTTGGCCACACCACAATCCCCTCTCCTCCATTCTCCTCCCGGGAGTGGGGGCCAGCTGGATCCCACATGGCCAACTGTGCAGTTGAAGTTCCAGACCCAGCAGACATGCTGGGTATGTGCGTGTGTGCCCAAAATCCTGAAAGGAGAAGGACTGTGGCATGGCCATCCCTCCTGGGGGGGATTTCTCACTTTCTTCCTCTCTGCCTCTGGTGAGCACACATGCCATATAGCCAACTTTAAATAAATAAATACAACAAAAAGATTTATTGCACTAAAATTTGTATTTCATAAAATTCACCCATTGCATATGTACAATTCAACGATTTCTTTTTTAAATGATTTAATTTCTTCTTATTATTATTTTTCTTTCTTTGGAGAGGTTTTTTGTTATAGGGCGCATGCGCTCGCCAGAAAGATAGAGAGAGACAGAGAGACAGAAAGTGAGAAATCACCCGCCAGGAGGGATGGACACACACCCCCGGGGGGATGGACCGCCACGACTGCGGTTGACTACATGGGAGTCCAGCAACATAGCTACCACGCCAACTGCTGGTCCCAACCTCTGGGAGGTGATTTCTCTCACTGACTCTGGTGAGTGCATGCACCCTGTGGCAAACCTTTAAAAAAAAAAAAAAGTTAAAATGAAAAATAAGGTATATAGAAATAAAGAAAAAAATCAAAAAAAAAAAAAAGTTAAAATGAAAAATAACGTATATAGAAATAAAGAAAAAAATCTGTTTTTGTTTTGTTTTGTTTTTGAGTTTTGCTATAGGGTACGTGGCACTTGCCAGAGAGACACAAGAAATCACCCCCCAGGGGGGATGGCCACACCACAATTCCTTCTGTTCCATCCTCTCAGGATTTTGGGCACACACGCACATGTGTCCAATGCGAGTTTGAAGCCACCAGGTCTGGGACTCGAAATGCGACCGACTATGTGGGAGTCCAGCAACGTAACCATTATGCCACCTGTTAGTCCCTCTGATAGGAATTTTTAAGCAAAATGCAAAATTGTATCTGTACTATGATTATAGACATGTAAAATATGTACATATTTGGGGCCAGTCCCATAGCCTGGTGGTAAAGGGAGCTGGATCCCACGTGACTGTCCTCAGTTTGAATCTCATGCAAGCCCCACATCCCAACAGGGTGAAGAAGAGATTATGGTGTGCTCATGCCCCACTAGGGGGTGCTTTCTCTCTCTCCATCCCTCTGTGTGTCTGTCTCTGGTGAACTCATGCACCCTCTGGCAAATTTAAAATACATACATGTTTTGAAACAAAGACTGAAAATAAACCTTAAGAAAATGAAGTGAGTTGCCCTGTTTACCTTGGAGAAGAAAACTGAATCTTCATCTTATGGCTGTTCCCTAGAGCACCAGAAGTGTCTGGACAAACTCCTCAATAACTGCCTGTTGAGCTGTACCATGCAAGAGCTGATTGGCTTTTATATTACCATGGAGGAGTACTTCATGAGGGAGACTGTCAATAAGGTAGGACATAGGACACCTCCATGGAAAATGGGCTTCCTGTCAAGAAGCCAGGCAGAAAGAAATGGCTGAGGCATGTCCCGTTTACTGCCTGCTGTGAAAATACTCTTTACATGTGGGGCCTAGCAGATGGTGTAATGGCTATGTCTGGATTCCCATGTAGTCGACCGCGGTTCGAGTCCCAGACCCAGTGGCTTAAACTCATGCTGGGCATGTGTGTGTGCACGCCCAAGATCCCGAGAGGAGAATGGAGGAGAAGGGATTGCAGTATGGCCATCACCCTTGGTGTGTGATTTCTTGCTTTCTGTCTTTCTGTTTCTCTCCTGTCTTTCTGGCTAGCGCATGTGCCCTATAGCAAAAACCTCTCCCAAAAGAAAGAAAGAAAGGAAGGAAGGAAGAAAGAAAGAAAATACTCATACATGCAGACTGAGCAGCACCAGTTTATATGGTGAGAGGGCATCTCTGAAGTTGTCATGCTCTTTGTGTACCCAGCTGGGACTTCTTTCCCT